GTCTTTTGACTACATATGGAGATCCTTGGTTTGCTGGCGAATATGTGCATTTATCCGTCATGTTTCCAGTATCCAGCTGGTAGTTGCTGCTGCACCCGCCACTGCTGAGCCCAGTTTCCAGGAACGTGTGCGATGGGAATGTAGACAAGACTCTTCCATAAAGTCTCCCTTTCGGCAGCTAAAAAAGCTTCACTGCTTCAATGACATTCTCCATGGTATATAATAAGTGAAACGCCCAGCAGGATGATTGTACTGTATTTGGTGGATGGCCCTGGAAATTCATGTGCTAAAGCCCCACCACCAGAGATTCTTAGTTGTTACCTGGTTGTTAGGTTTTGTGGAAGTTCATTGTGTGTGTCTGGCATTTGTAATATTTACACAAACACTATCCTACACTGTAGATGGGCAGAAAGTAGTTGCATAATGACCACATCTATATGGGCATCTGGACAGCGTTGGATGTTCTTACCAGGTGGTCAGTAGAATGAGTCAATATAGTAGTTGATCAATTTGCACAAATATTTCTAGGTGCTCAATAGACTCTGCCAGTACAGTAGAGGACTGTGGGGTGGTGTTACTTCTTGGAGGACCTGACAGTCAGAGTTCTTCAAAAGTGAGTCTGTGAAAATTGTTTTCTTTACTGTGAGTATCACACAATATGGTCCTAGAAACATCTTGAGAAACAACGGGTTTAAGAGTCACTACAAAGCCAAACAAGCTGCAACCAGTCTTCTGTGAGGACCCTAAGCAGGACACATCTCGTGACCAACATCAAAAGAGCAAGTGTAGAAGTTTTACTTTTTTATTGGAAGTAGAAAATACTTTTGTTTTTGTCAAATGTATTGCTTTCATTTGTAAAATAGAATCAGTGGCTTACATTGTTTTAATTTTTAGATTCAGTTGGACGATTATATTTAAATGATTTTGCTTCTATGGCAACAGTTCCCGAAGTGAAACTGCACAGATTATGTACCCTTTTCAAATTCTTTGCTTTTAATTAGGTGTTAAATTAATTTGGATGCATATGTCAAAACTGTAGTCTAGGTTTTTCTTTATATTTTCTTTTTAATCAAACGCTACACTGATTACCGGTACTTCAGTTTCTTGGTAACACAAGTTCTACTTCTTGCTTTTTCATTACTGTCTTTTTGTTTAGCTTGTTACCTGTATGTTTGTCATCGTCAAAATGCTTGCACATTTTTGGTGCTTTACTATAATATAATAAGTGTTTCCAAACTTTCTAAACAAAGGATCAGTTTACTGTTTTTCAGACTTTAGGGAGGCCAAAATGTGGTCATTGGACGTATAAAATGTCATGGCTTTAGTGGGAGTAATCAATGCTTCATCTATGGTGTCAGTGGGAGGGATTGTGTCACTGGGTGGAAAAAAAATCATGCCCCATTGTTGGTGTCACTTTAAGGAATTCTGCCTCATCATTGGCGTCATTGGGAGGAACTGTGCCCCAATTTGGTGTCATTAGGGGGAATTATGCCCAATTGGTGTTAGTGGGAAAAATGATGCCTCATTGTTGGTGTCCAAGGATGAAATATTGCCCAAGGGCCAGGTAAAAGCAAGCAAAGGGACGCAGTTTGGAGACCACTGCTATAGAACACAGGTCCACCATGGATTTTTTTGAGATCTGCCTGTCAACTGCAGCCATGTGATGGTTACGTATCAATCCGCCTGTTGCCAAAAAGTGCATTACACAAAGCTTCATCACTCCTATTATGTCTTACCTGTTCCTTATACTGTCCCACAGTGATTAGATGAGCAAAGAGAGAGGGTCGAAGACCCTTGGAAGTCTTTCTGGCAGAAGTGGTGTGGTCCCTCTCAACTTAGGTTCGTATGGGAAGCTAGTTGATGTGGAGTTGGCTGTTACACTGTTAGTGACCAGAGATAGGCAGCAGCTTTATGTAGGAGATACGTATGTGACAGTTGCACTGTAGATCAGAAAGCTAATCTTTTCTCCCCTGCATCACTGACACACACACACTCCTCAATGGCTAGTATGTATAGAATCTATATCACCTTTGATTCCAAAGTAGCATACTGGATTTTCTGGGCAATTTGGGCTTACCATTGCAGTTATGTGATTGGCAGAAACTTTAATGCATACAATGCACTGGTTTGGCCCCAATGGTAAGCCCATGGAAAAAAAGGGTTCTGAGCCCACTCACAAACACCAAAATGCTGTGCAGAGTATTGCAGAAGGATGTACTTGAAGGTGGATTTTCATGCCATTGTGAAGGTATGGTTCTAGTCTGTGGCAGTTATTCTCTGTGTATAGATACATAGTTACATCGATAGATTGATGTCAGTGGAAGAGTGACCTTTGCAATGCTCTAACCTCTTCCTGTCCAAATGGTGTCAGGAGAGAATAGGAGAAGCATCCTCCATGTTTTAAGGCTGGTCAGGCAGGGAGTCTATTTGGATATTAAAAATCAAGAACATTGGTTCCTAATATTCAAATTGGTTGGGATAGTACTAGGAATATATACAAATTCTTACCTGTCCTAAAAGTAATCATTTTGCAACTGTTATGTGACGACGGGAGAGGGTGTAGCACCTACCTAATTAACATCTGGTATAAATGGGCTCCTATGTCCCAGAGGGCCCTTGTACAACTGCATGGTCTACACAAATAGAAGGTCCACCACTGGCTACAGTAACCAAACCTGCTATTCATTTATCTCCCCATCATTGTTGAGCTTTTGGGATGAGGGAAATTCTGGATATCAAATTATTTGGAAGCCAGTCCCACGTCTCTCAAGATTATGTTGACTTTTTTTTTTTTTTTTTTTTTAACTCTGATTATTTTTTTATTAGAAGATAGGGTTCTGTTGTGCCTTGTTCTTGATGTGCTATATAAAAGATGCAGAAGGTAGTAATGACTTGCTATATCAAAGCCCTTTAACTTACCTTCCGTTTTATAGATGGTGTGAGCCAACACTATTTGCCATGGTGTCATGTTTAGAGTAGGGATTGAGGTGTTGAGATCATTATCGGATGTTTTTTTTTTTTTTTTCTTTCTTTTAAATAACTCTTTATCCATTATTCCCACCACATGCATCAGGATGAACATCTGTTTGGCCTACCCTCACTTAAAGCTGAACTCAGCTAAATTTCCAATTGAAATACATATACTTTATGTCCACTGTTTTACATGCCTAAATATTTGTAATAACGGTCTTTTGATCCAGGACTAAGCAGCGAGCCATATCTGGAACCTCCCTGCTTTTAAGCAATACAGTCATGTGCAAGGCCCACCCCAGCTTGTGAATGGACAAGGCGGTCGCTGCAGCCCACCAATTAGGTCTTCCCTGTGCTCTCTGCTCATGTTAGCAAATTTATAGTGGTGCAAATGACAGCATTGCATAAAGCAATAGATCCCTGGCTGGATGACCCTTTGTCTGCCTGTTTTAAGTGCTGCTTTACAGGGAATTCAAGAAAACTAATTAGCAACCATATTTAGCAGTCCATTTCTGCATAAACTACAAAGGCTTAAAAAACATGGCTTTGGTGTTATGCTTTAGGCTTTCTGATCTTTTTATACTGGTGTAATCTGGGAAAGGCACAACAGAGATGGTCCTCACCTAAAAATATAGATCATACTAGACCAGGCGCTTCGTCTTCAAATTTTTCCAGATCACATTTTTAATTTAGAGCACAAGCTTGCTGAGCTCTTGCAAGTTTCAGGTTTTTTTTTCCTGCAGTGGTAAGTTGTAATCCCATGTGAGCGCCGTATGAATGGGGCCTTTCCGCCGAGAGTTGCTTTGGCAGCAGGACGAGGAAAATGATTGCATAGTTAAGGCCATCGCCCGAGGCAATCACAGTGTTCGGGACAAGTGTTGCATGATAAATTTCCACTGAACGCTGGAACATCTGCAAATGTACAGTATCTTCCGATTTAGTTCTCACATGCTGCTGACTCGGGAAGATTTTACAGGCAGAAATGCACCCTTGAAATAAGTTATTCTTCATTACCTCTGAAAAATGTGCAGATTAACCTGCCATCGTATTTCTTTGTCTGCTTAGCTATGCTAGGATTTCAACCAGTGTAAGTGTGGGAGCGTTGGGTGCAGCCATTTTGCTTGACACAAGATTCCATCAACGTAGCCTACTGTTTAGAATGGCTTATGACCCAGCCGTAGACGTTCATCAGCCTGGTATGGTTGCTGAGTCTTTAGTGCTCAGGCATAAATGCGTATTCCTCCTTACATTGTAAATACGCTGTGTATTTTGGTGCCCATTAGCCCCTGATCCTGCATATAGCCGGCCCTAATCATGAATGGATTAGGCGGCTGTATGCACGTCTGCTTGCGTGAAGTGGTGCATGCATACGAACATAAGATACCAAAACACAGACTGAAACGCGCCCTTGTACATGAACATTTAAAGTTGATATTTACCCCACATGAATTGCATTTAATTTGCTAAAGCACTGTACCTTGCGTTTCTTTTTTTTGTTTGTTTTATATTTATTTATGTAGTTTTTTTGCATCCCAGTGCTGTTTCCTTCATACTTTTTGCATCCCCCTCCTTGCCCCCCATGGCAACTTCTTGTCATTGCTCACAGCAAGCTTACCGTCAGTGTTAGAACATAAAAACATTGTGAGCACTGTCACAACCATTTATGGTCTCCACTGTGATGTGTTGTCACCCTTTAGCAGGAAGTGCTTCACCTAGGGCCTTCATGGCAGGATCACCAGGTATTATTTTAACCACTAGCCTACAGGGCACTTATACCCCCTTCCTGCCCAGGCCAATTTCCAGCTTTCAGCGCTGTCGCACTTTGAATGACAATTGCGCGGTCATGCAACACTGTACCCATATGAAAGTTTTATCATTTTTTTTTGTGACAGAGCTTTATTTTGGTGGTATTTAATCACCTCTGGGTTTTTTTTTTTCTTAAACCAAAAACCACTGAAAAGTTTGAAAAAAAAAAAAAAGTTTTTTTCTTTGTTTTTGTTATAACATTTTGTAAATAAGTGATTTTTCTCCTTCAGTTATGTGCGCCAATGAGGCTGCAGTGATGGGCACTGATAGGCTGCACTGATGAACACTGATAAGTAGCACTGATGAGGTGGCACTGATGGGCATTGACAGGCATCACTAATGGACACTGAAAGGCAGCACTGATAGGTGGCACTGACTGGCACTGGTAGGCGGCACTGACTGGCACTAATAGGTGGCACTGACTCGCACTGATGGGTGACACTGAAAGACAGCTCAGATGGGCACTGAAATGTGGCACTGATGGGCACTGGCAGGTGGCATGGATGAGCACAGAGCTGGCACCGATGGACAGGTGGACAGGTGGCGCTGGACAGGTGGCGCTACTGGGGCTACACTGATCATCAGGGCACACTGATCATCAGTGCTCTGATGATTTGTGTAGATGTCCCCTCCGAGAAATGCTGATTACCGTCTCTCCTCTCCTCACGAGCTGTCAGTGTGACAGCTCGTGGGGAGAGAATTGCCGATAACCGGCATTTCCCTGTTTACATGTGATCAGCTGTGATTGGACACAGCTGATCACATGACCGAGCCGACATCTTTGGCTTTTTCTGTGGGTCGGTGATCCGCTGTGTCCGAGGGACGCAGCGCACCACCGCACTGTGCGCTCCCTGAGCCGCGCATGCACGGTTAAAATGGGAGGACGTCATATGACGCGCTCCCAGAACGAGAGAACCACCTTGCGTCGTCATATTACTATATGGCAGGTGGGAGGCGGTTAATTGAGGCAGCAGGTTTAAAAAGACAACGGGGTTGATTTACTGAAACCGGAGACTGCAAAATCTGGTGCAGCTGTGCATGCTAGCCAATCAGCTTCTAACCTCAACTTGTTCAAATAGAATTTTTCCAAAAAAAACCTGGAAGCTGATTGGTTTTTACGACAGCTGCACCAGATTTTGCACTCTCCAGTTTTAGTAGATCAACTCTAGTGACTTTTGAAATTATATTAACGTGGCAAAGATCATATGAGTGGGTTTACTTTGTGTACCTATAATACAAATTGGCCCCTCTATGCAATACATTTATAAATGTGGCCACTCTTAGCTGGGCTCCCCAATTACTTTATTGTCCCCAATGGAGAATTGGTCTGGGAAGGCCAAGATAAGGTAATATAGGCAGCACTATGGCCATTGGTTTGAATCCCAACCACGGCACCACCTGCCAAGAGTTTGCATGTTCTCCCTGTGCCTGTGTGGGTTTCCTCCGGGTACTCCGGTTTCCTTCCACCATCTAAAGATGGTAAAATGCTGCGTAAATTGATGGCGCTATAGAAGTACCTGTAATAAATTATAAACAATAATAAAGAAATATGGCTACAACAGTGGACAGCACTAAGAATTAGTAGGTGGAGGAATCTCACTCCTGAAGTCCTAGAGAAAATGAGAAGCCAGCTTGGTATACAACTGTCGGTGCCCACGCTATTTTCCAAATAACTTTTACATTTGCAGCTATCATCTGAAAGTTTTACATATGTTTTTGTAAAATTATACATTTAAATATAAGAGCCCTTTTTAGTCACACTTAGACAGAACTCAAGATGACAATAAAAAGCAGCAGCGTGCGTCTAATGTTCTGTAGCAGAGCATACGGGGAAACTCTCAAATATTGTCCACCTTGGTTTCCAATGCATCGAATGTTGGTGATGTTTAAGCAAGCCTTACACAAACAGCAGACCCGAGAGCAGCCACTTCCTCTGTCAGCGGGAACCGGTCCAAATTGTTTTACATTTTTTTTTTTTTAACTTTAAACAAAACTGGAAAGACTATTTTTACAGACTTCCATTAAACATTCTTTGGACAACACCCTAGAACAGGAAACCACAATTTCTCCAAGATTTACACAGGATGGAAATAGATAACATTCCTGCCGGGCTATGGGTCTAATGAATAAGTGTAGCTTGTCCTAGAGGTTTGTGGCAGAATTATTATCCGTCTACATTTCCTATCATTTGGAAGAGATAAAGAAAAACACTAAAAATACTTAAAAAAAAAAAAAAAAAAAAAAAAAATATATATATATATATATATATATATATATACACACACACACACAAATATATACACATATAGTGGGTTTTTTTGTTTTGTTTTATACTTAAAGGAACCAAAGAATCTAAGCAGCAAAACTGCGTTTGAGTGTTTTTAACCTTCATAAACAAGCTTTGTGGAATTAAAAGAGATTTGTGTAACTTTTCTATTCAGTTGCCATGTAGAAGACGTTAAAAAAAAAAAAAAAAAAAAAAAAAAAAGTACTTTAGGTAGTTACAAGCTGTAGGTTTTCTTTCTTTTTTATTTTGCTAGGTTTGTTACTGCAAAATTTCTGTTCCTGCTTGTCAGTGCTTGCATGCCAAGTTCCCGGCCCTGCTCTCTGCACTTGAAAGTCGATGGATCCCTACAGACTTCTGTATGGCTTATTAGTTTAAATCAAAAGATTCCATGTAAAAGGTCTGAAAGTGTGCTTGAAGGTGCTGGACAGTGGAGAGGGCTGACATTTTGAATGGCTTAGATGTTTGCATTCCATGTTTGAAATGCTTTTGGGTTCCATTGAGTTCCTTTGGGCAGCTAAGTTGTTCTATACACCTAGGAAGCCACTTTGTCTAGAAATCACTCATAGTGACCACAAAAAAGTTACTCTCTATTTCCTTTTCCCCACTGCATTTTATATTACCTTTTCTATAGTCTTTATGCCGGTCACATGACAAACGGAGTCCTCTTACTCTTCAGATCTTCCTAGTGATGCTGAGCACACCTTTACGTTGTGAGTGGCCCTGGGTTGGGTTCATGACGTCCTGCATTCACCGTATGTTTTCAGTCCAACAGGTTGAATGACTCTGGAGGTAAGTATTAAGCCACAATTTTTTTTTTTTTTTTTGTAACACTGGCCGGGGGACCTTTTAAAAAAAAAATAATTGGACTTTAAGGAACACCAGCAACATTAAACAATGAATATTGACAGAGAGTGCCATTATGCACTTCGGGATTCTGTCTACAGATGTCAGAAGAACAAAAACAAGAGAAGTCGTGGTTTTAGGGCACACAATTATTTTGGGTGCCAAAGGCTGTGTGACTACAACCCCCAGTTTTAGAACTACGGTCCTCTACATAACCAGATGTAATTGAGAAGATGTTAAATGCACAGCAGGTAGGTTGCAAAACATGTTGGCTTTGGCTTCAGAGGCTTCAGTATGCCAGTACCAGTTCTTTACTATCCTGGGGAAAAAAATCTTTTTTTACGGCAAGATATTCTAACATTCTGTACTGCACAGCTAGACATTATTTGATTTTACAGCTTTGCATTTGTCCGCATCCAGATAAGTCCATTTTTCTCAGATATCAGGGGGGTTTCACGCCGTGCAGCAAATGCAGCTCTGAGGCTTCCTTACCTGGAGCGTGTGCATCAAGCCTCATAATCTGTCATATTATGCAGGCAGGTAACCGCTGATCTGGGTTTATGTTTTGCAAGGCGCCTCCTGGCCTCGTGGGATTAAACCTGAAATATATACATCTATCATGTGCATCTAGTTATTTTTATCAACTGCCATCAGAACACCATGCATGCATTAACTGAAATTTAAGGTAATTCCGTATTCCGGCATCTTAAGTGGAATCTTCAAGATGGAACTGCAGTAGAGGTTTTTCGTTCAGGCAATCTTAGCTGTTATCAAATTGCAAGGAATATAAATTATACTCATCAATGGTGTAGGGTAGGGGTTGGACAGTATTGGGAAGAATTTGTTGTAAAATTGTACATGTAGATGCTAAATACAAATTCATGCCTGATGATAATGTGTGTGGTTTAGACTTCCCAATCATATACAGTCACGCTGACACACTTTTAACCATGTTCTTTCGAATTGCTGTATGCAGTAAATATTGGAACTTCGTCCAAGTTTTTTTTTTTTTTTTTTTTTGGGAGGGGGAGTGGGGTTTGAAGAGTTAAAATCGTCATTGTGTTTTCATTGTTTCATTGGTATTGCCATTTTGAAAGATTTCCCCTTACTTCCTGTTCTGGTGACAGTCTGGAAGGGGGGAAGATTTCCTACAGGGTCATATCTAGAAAGAAGTTCTAACCTTTGTCTGCTCCATTGAACAAGTATGTCCTGCTGTCTAAGTAACCCATTATAGTGGAGTATCTTTACTTTGTTAAAGTGGACCTTAACTCGTTTTAAAAAATTTGTTTTGGGGATATAAAGAAGTGTTTACCGTGACTAAGCAATACTCTACAATATTTTATCATTTGTCCTAAATTCCTCATAAAAAATAGCAGCGCACTCTTGGTGTGGGGTGTGCCTAGGCACTCCTGTGCAAACTGCTTCTTAGCTCTATTTCTGCAGTGTAAGATCTAAGGCACTGCTTCCTCAGGCAGATAGTCTTACCAGCTTTGGAGTGAGGTTTGATGAAATGGCTACTATTCTGCTTACTGTGCTCTTTTCTGGAGGCAGGAGAAAGCAAAGCTTTGCCTCTACCAAGATGGCCACCTCCATACAGAGACACCTTGCAGAGCAGGGTATGGTAGGTCACCAATGGTTAAAGATACTGGTGACTGGTCCTTTGCCCATTTACAGTGCCTTGAAAAAGTATTTATACCCCTTTAAATTTTCTACATTTTGTCATTTTACAACCAAAAACGTAATTGTATTTTATTGGGATTTTATGCGATACACTAACACAAAGTGGCACATAATTGTGAGGAAAATAAGTGATTTTCAGGTTTTTTTTTTTGCAAATATCTGAAAATATCAAATAAAATCCCAATAAAATGGACTTATATTTTTGGTTGTAACATGACAAAATGTGGAAAATTTCAAGGGGTTTGATTACTTTTTCAAGGCACTGTACCTGCCTTTTTATGAGTACAGCTTCTAGAGTTCAGTTTTTTTTGGACCTAATTCCCCTAAATACCCTTACTAATATGCTATACCTTCAGAACCATACTACCATCAGTGACCAGGTCTTGGACCACCCTTACAGCATCAGGAGTGTCCAGATACTTATCAAGGTATATGTGAAAACAGAAATATTCTCTACATGCAAGCTATACATTTTGAGATTCCTTTTGGGCTACGGCAGCCTCCCTTCCCCACTCACCCCCTAAATGTAAATTCAAAGAACCCTTGTTTTTCATGGAATATCTCCATTTTATTTTTGAAAATACTAAACCCTTTAGAGTCTCTCCCACCCGTTTTCTCCTCCTCCCGTCTCTTCCATGTTATCTCCCATTTGATGAGTAATACATTTACTTCCAGTTTCAATAACCATACAGTAAGTGAGGGTAAATCAGCACCAACACCTACCAGATAAAAATAAAATTCAAATAAAACCTAATGGATGTTCTAACTTCCTTTTCTTACTCTGGATTATTCTACGCAAAGGCAGATATTTCAC